CCCTACAACTATCTCTTGCCTGTACTTTGATGTGAGCTCATGTATCAGCCATTCTCCAAATCGTGACAGGAATTAATTTTCTTGTCCTTTTTCACCTGTTATTTTACATAAATGTCTAGCACTTAAATATCTTAAATTCTTTTTCTTTGGAAAAATTATTTGAAATTGTGCAGTAGATTTTGAAGGGATTGCGACCAGTACACAGAGGCAGATGCTCTGAGGGTGTAATCTTACAAATTTGTTATAAAAAATATTGTAACTTCTTTTGTCTTCAGGGATTTATTTTTTTTTAATTTTAGTTAGAAGGAATTTAGCTCCTCCTGGCCATTAATATTCTGACTATGAATATTTTTATATGTCTTGGTTTTATCTTGCTCACCCAATTACATTTCTTCTATCAGATTTGGACCTCATCTCTGTGTCATAGTTATTCACCTGCAGTAACACCTTGACAAAATAAAAAAATAGAACTAGAAATAATATTTTTAGTATACACAGTTTCAGATGCTTCAGTTGATAAGAAAGAGACCTTCCTCATGGTTTTGAGTATACTGAAGCAAAGTAATGCCCAACAGCTTTAAAGTGTTTCCATGGTTATATAATACAAAGTAAGGCTTCAAATGTGAATTTTATATTCCACTAAATTTGGCAATTGTTGATTTTAAAGCATATTAGATCATTCACAAATAGGAGGCCTTTAGCACATCAAGCTGTTTAGGAGCAAGTGGTGGACAGTTTTGGAGAACTTCTCTTTCTCCTTGGCATGTTTTCATGATAATTCAAATATTGGAGATAATTTACAACTCTGCTGGTACTATACCAAAGACCTTATGTGATGGAATTTATATCACTTTTCCTTTTAGACATTTAAACCACATGTCATTCTAGAAAAACGAGGACAGAGGTCCAACAAAGGAGTGATTTATTTTCAGTTAAAATACTAGCTACATTGAAACCACATGTTATTAAGTACTGTATAACCAAACCATGCTCAGAAGAAGGCTTACGGCACCAAGGCTTGCTTAAAATGTTTCTCCCCCCCAAAAAAAAACCCCACTTTGGCAGTGCACACATTAACAAACTACACAGTACATTGACTATAATTTTCCCTCGATGAAACAAGTTATTAAAGTGCCAGAGTGCAAATTAATTCAGTTCCTTATTATTTTTCTTTCTCATGTTTTTGAATGGTTGAAATTTTCTGTCCATTTTAGGCAACATTACCTCTCTGTGAGCATCCCTCCTGAAAGAGCATAATGCAATTTAAAATTTTAGGACTAAACCATAGTTTTTCAAAGTGAAACAATTTGTATTTTGGGCATATTACCAACAACTCTCATAACGAGCCTGTGAGAAGAGTAAGGTAATACACAGAAGTAGTGCACACAAATCCAAGTCCAGCAGGAAAATACAAAGATTAGAGCTAAGGGGCCCCTTGTTTTCAAAACGCAGATGCTGCACTTCCACATCAGATTGCCTAGGACTTCAAGGGATGTTTTAATGCGAACGTTGCCATGTGAGTTGTCAAAAGCCCAATGTAGATGACCAGTGAAGAATTTACCCTGTAAAAAGAACTACTGAAGTTCCATCTAGTTTCTGTGCTGGTTCTGTGAATGTATGTCTGGATCATACTGGCCCAGACATGGTGCTTGGGGGAATGGGAATTAAGCTGGCTCACCTGTGTGCTCCTGGGGACTGTTAGATGCCAAAACCCGATCAAGTGTTGCTGCCTCACTGTTCAGATTCTGTTTATTGTGCAACTTGCATGGCCTAGAAAGCCTATCCCTGTGCTTTCGAAGAACTGCACAAGCATTAACAAATCACCACAATACCCTGTCTCACAGGTAATCACTGGACAGTTTTGGTCCTAAAAGGGGATTAGTCAGTTATGGTCAAACAGTCTTTAAACAAAACATGGATCAGAAGGAGCAAATTTCTTTGCTTATATGTTTGAGATCATTCTAATTCAGATGTTGCACTCACATCTTGAAGTCATTTCTACTACCTTAATATTGCCTGGTATTCTCATTGCTCCTAAAATTACTTTGCTCAGGCAGATCCTGAAGTACTAATTCTGCAGCAGTAACATGCTGAAATTTGTAGTGTCCTTAAACCAAAAACGATACAACAGCTATGTTGTGTGTCTTTTTTCAGTCCTTGGCTGCCTAATTGAAATAAAGTATATGTAGTAGACAATGTAATTTATTAGACATAGAAACTCCACTGAATTAAAGCTGGCTGGTTTGCTACTTTGTCTTGAATGGACACCAGTACCAAAGTATTGCAGGAGATTGTGCACGAAACCACACAGTGGACAAAAAAAGCATCATATGGGAGACTTGACTTATGCCATGTTGAAATCATAAACTGTCATGTTAAATTTTAGAAAAATGTGAATTAATCATGTTCAAAATTATTATTGAATCACCTTCCCAGTAAGTTCCTATGCTATAGGGTATATATTATTTTTTCCCAGCCTGGTACAGCCATCTAGTCATAGCTGAGATTGCTGTCTAACTGCAGTAAAGCAGTGTGTAAATTTACAGTAGGAAGTACAAGGCAGCTATGCTCTTGCTGCCTCCTTTGCCTTTTCTGAAGCACTAGAAAGCTGGTGCTGTCACCAGCAATGAAAAATTATTGTGGGGCGCAGTGTGGCAGCTATTGTGTTAAATTGAGAGGAGAAGCCCTATTTCTGGATTATTGTCCAGAAACTATTGTCTTCCATTGGTTTTCTTCCCTAAAAATAATGGAACTGATCATACATTTTCATGGACTAAAATTCTTTCTCTTTATGTGGGTCTCATAGGCTTTTTTATAATGTAGATGATCACTTCACACTGCATAATCCAACTGACTTGTCTTTTCTCTTTCTCTAGATGTTTCCAGATGTGTGGCTGAGAGGAAGTACACCCAGGAACAAGCTCGCAAAGAATTTCAACAAGTGTTTATCCCAGAATGCAATGACGATGGCACATATAGTCAGGTTGAAAATTTTTCATTCAGCATCTTGCGTGGCTGGAAAGTCAGAATGTGTGTGTTTGAAATGGGTGAAGAAGAGGCAAATGTAATGAAGGGAAATTAATTTCAAAATTAAATATAATTTGTGCTAACACTGATGTCAAAAAATGGAAGGAAAATCCGTGTTATGTGCCGAGTCCTTGTTCTTTTTTTCAGTTGGCCAGCAAAAGAGCCAAACAGTATAATACTCTAACTGTTCTTCTAGGATGAGGCAGCTGAGTCATTCTTCTAGCCCCCTGAATACTCATCAGATGGTAAAATGCTTGGAATTTCTGATCTGTTTGTGATCTGAACCAGTAATCTTGCGACCAGAGTGCCTATCTTAGTGCTAAAGCATGAATCATACAGGATTCTTCCTTATTCTCAGCTGAACTTTGTTGCAAGCATATGGTCTGACACTAATTTACTTAGCTTAGATCATGGAATTCAGAAGGCACACAGTTAGAAGCTTGGCCTGTGATATATATTCCAGTCAAGATCACCTTCTTCTGCCTCTGTACCACATTTTTAGTTGTGGAGTTGTGCAGAACACAATCCTTCTCTTTAAGCATGGTGACAGAAGTGATATTAGCCCTTAGGAAATATAATGCATTTGATTTCTAAGTGGAATTCCAAGAGTTTCCTTTCTGACAGCTTGGGATATGAATAATGCTGGCAGAAGCACTCTGTCCTGCTTCTCCAGTGGGTGGAACAATATGTTCTCTATGTGGAAAAAAGCTCAAGATTGCTTGTTTCAGGAACAGCTTATGTGTCCCTTGGGGGACTTCCTTGTGAGGTTTTTATAACACCTGCACCTCACTCTTCTAAAATAGGGTGTAAACAACCGCATATTGCAATAGTTTTCTCTTCCATTGGATTCTGAATGACCTACCACACTTTTCTTGAATTACACTTTATGCTAAAAAATCTTATGTAGGGCAGAGTTAGGTCCATTGTGGCTTATTGTTCTAGGTTTTGCCAATATAGTTTGCTGGATTAGACTTTTGTACTCATGTATCATGAATGTCGTGGGGTAACAAGCATATGTCTGACAAGCTGCACATGGTTCATGTTGTTTCTGACAGGTTCAGTGCCATAGTTATACTGGATACTGCTGGTGTGTCACTCCCAACGGTCGACCTATCAGCGGTACTGCTGTGGCCCACAAAACTCCTCGCTGTCCAGGTAAATCTTGTTTGGCTGGCCAGGATATGACAGTATCTCTTGAATAGCAGAGTTTATCTGGGGCATCTGATGAGACTTAAGGAAAAAAAGTCATCACTGGAAGAGTGGTTCAGCCCAGAAACAGGTGCTGGAAGAGCCTGTGGATGCCCCATGCTTGGGAATTGGCAAAATTCAATCAGATCAGGTTCTGAGAAAGTTGCTCTGCCTTTTAATGTAGCCCTGCATGAAGTCTGAGGTCACTGCCACCCTAAACCTCCCTGTGATTCTAGGATCCATCTCCTTTATTTGTACTTAAATTGGGCTATTGAAGAGGTTTTCTGCAGTGGTTATTTGTACTACATTTATGTGTCCGTATATGAAACCACGTGACTGACTTGCTGATGTAGTACTTTCTTTACATTGAAACTTGCTTGCATATAAACTCATTGCAAAAAAAAATGTCAGAGGGTTTTGTCTCTTTTGATATTTCAAGTATTTAGAGTACAGAAAAAAACCCCACACCACCAAAAATTACAGAGTGGGAATGTTCATTTGTAACATAGCCCAGTGAAAGAACTCCTGCTGCAGAGTGCATGAATGGCCAAATCCAGAAGAGAAATAAGAATGAAAAAAAAAACATTAAGAACATAATGGAGTCATTGTAGAAATTAGCTGGCAAATCAAACTCACTGCCTTGTGTGCTACCTTTTGTCTTTTATCAGGACAATTAACAGGCTCACTGTTTTTTAGGGTTTTGCTTCTGACCATATTTCATTCACATTGATAATAAATAAAATCCAGAATGTATGAATGGTTGTTGGAACTGCTATTCACCTCCCTCAAGGTTAGCAGAATTGCACAGAAATAGCACAGAAATGTGAATGAAACTGGCAAAGAGAGTAGATTAGGGCCTTTGGGGGAATTTACCTGGCCTGATCTACTTCAATCATTCAAGCACAACATTGATTATTTTAATAAATAGGTGGAGGAAGGAAGAGACCACTGAGAAAGTTTCAACAAAGTTAATTTAATTTTTAAGGTCTTTCCTGCCTGTAGGTGCACTTTAGCCAGAAAGAATAGCCTTCAGAATATTCCTTTTGATCCAGTCTGAAAAGTCACTGTAGAATGACAGTCAGTTGTGAATAATGACATAAAATATTCAGAAACCCTAAAATAGAGGAAAATGTACATTCATTTTAGTGAAATTATTGTTTATGACTCATTTGCATCTTCAGAAGACACATGGATGTGTCTTTAGTTGTAGATGTCCCATCCCTAGAAGTGTTCAAGCCCAGGCTGGATGGGACTCTTTGCAACCTGGTTTAGTGGAAGGTGTCCTTGCCCATGGCAGTGGAGTTGGAAAGAGATGAGTTTTAAAGACCCTTTCAAACTATGCTATGATTCTATGATTATATGGCTAGGATAGTACTTTTGGGCTTTGTGTAGAAGTGCTTTTGCATGTTCATAGCCCAAACTTCTCTGAAAGTGTGCCTTTGTTGCTTTCTCTGCAAAATCCATTTGTAGCTTCCTCCCTTCCTGTCCTTTCACTGACATCAGTGAAAAAAAGGTTATACTGATGCTGTAAGGTCACTAAGTAATTGTTACATGTCTCATAACACATAGCACTCTTTTTGTCTCAAAATGTTGTTGAATTGCCTACTATACTTACAATTTTTTCTATTTGTACCTGGTATTATTGAGGAGAAGCCTCAGTGTAGTTCCAAGTTAATGAATGGATTACTATGAGAATTATTCTATCTCCACAGGAACCTAACCCTAGTTCCTCTCCAGGGTGTATTCACGTGTCTAGCAGATAAACTGCCAGACTGCTTCAGCTCATTTTTGGAGGGGTAGGAAGGGAAGTTATTTTTATAGAGATTCTAAGGTGAAGGTCATAGTAGCTCTCAAATTGAATTTAGTAGCTCAGAGATAAACTGCTCTAGGGCCCAGGTGAGTGTGGAGTCTGATTTTGCTCCTTGGAAGACTGAGTAATTTTTCAGTTGTTATGAGACCCTGTGGGATTATCTCCCCTGCTTGTATCTCTCTGTTTTACTGTTCACCACTTCTCCTTTGTCCCTCAGGAAAGAAGCCCAGCTATAGCAGAGTTTGGAAGTAAGACGTGAAATGCTAGGGGATTTTGCAGTGGTATTGGCTAAGGAGTCAGTTTTGAGTGGTCTGGAGAAACCTTCTGATTCAGCAGAGAAGACAGCTACAGATTTTCTCAGAAAGTTATGTGGTATAATAAGGCAAAACTTTGTTCTTATATTGCAGAATGAAAGTCTGAAGCACAACTGCACCCTTCTCCCATTTCTCAGTATATATTCAAAATTGCCATCTGTTTATGATAATGCAGGGTGTTTTGTTCTCCCAGGACTGTTGATGTTTTCCAGATCACCGTTGGTTCCCTTTTGTACTTTATTTAATATGACTATGCAGAAGAGTACTAAAGTAAAAACTTTAGTGGGTCAGATGAAGTTGAATAGATGTACTCCTGTTCTAACTAGTATTTCACGGATGCCATTTCTTCCAACACTGTTGTCCCTGTCAGGCTAATACACTGTGCAGGAATTGCCTTGCTATTTTTGATATTGCAGGCCAATCTCCTGCAAGAGTGTCATACTGATACCAGCATGCTCCTGTGTATTCTGCAGGCTTGGTGCTGTAGTTATTTCAAAGGCAATTACGCAAATTTCTCAGTTTGCATGTACCATACTTTTTTCTCCCAGGATCGCTCTTGCCACCTTTTCTCTTTAGAGAATGTGTACAGACAATTCTTTTGTTTTCTCATAGGAAATGTGCTACCATGGAATGTGTGAAAATTGCTCATTTTAATGAAAATGTTCAGTTAATTTTTAGTTCTAGGCTGATTCATCAGTAACTTCAGATTAGTTTCAAATACATGTCTATTCAACTGTGCTATTCCTAAATTATGGGATTATTTCTTGCCTTTCATTTTCTCCCAGTGGAACTACTTTTGACTTTGGTGAATACCCAGAAATAAGAAAGAAGAGCATGGCAACCTGGAAGAATTTGGATTTTAGTAGAGGAAATACAGAGCAGAATTTAGGATGGGCAGATAGGATTCTGGTTTCCGGATTCCATCCCCTATCTGTGCTTCAAATTTACTGTGTGATATTGGATATTTGAAACAACCTCTGTGTTTATGTAACTGTTACTATTACTTAGCTGCATAACATGATGTTTCCTAAAGTTATCTCAGGTCTGAAAAGTGTCACATGTATATTTTTTATGTATTGACAATAGGTGTATGAGCCAATTTTTGATCATTGTGTTGTTCTTGTTGCTCTTATTTAAGCTGAAATTTGTGCTAGAGACACAAGATGTTGAAGAATGAAGGTCATAAGCAGCATAAAAAAAATGTGGGACTCTCAGACTGTTTTATGCAAAACCTTTGCTTTAACTGCTGCATCTTTACCTGAAAGAGGCTCTTCTTCCATCTTTTCCAGTTTTTCCCACACCAACACTCGGTAGGGCTAAGGCACACATGATAAATCTGAGAATGCCGTACCACTTCATGGAAATAATCTCCACTATTGCAGGAGCAGTGGTGAGAAGGAGAGTAAATCAAACACATTCCCATGACAGCATTAAAAAGAAAGCTCCTTAAAAATGATGAATGCTCCCAGTGCTTTCACTGAAGAACACCAGACATAAAAAAAAAAAAGACATTTTTACAACTCTGCATCTCTGTTATCAGCACTACAGGGAACTACAGAAATTCCATAGGCATGGAGTCCTGGGAAATGGGGTAGAAATTGACAAGCAGGTGTTAAATTGTCATTGGAAAATACAGTGTTTACCTGTTGTAGGGATTTTATGCCCTATTAACTATTCTGGGCTTCTGCCAGTGAGACTGCAGAGATATGGAGGCATGTTTTATTGTCTTGTGAAGTAGTTCTGGTGCCTTAGGATTAAGATGGCATGATCACCTTTTACAGCCAAAATGCAAGTACCTTTAGCAATTCAGAACTATTTATGTCTGTATAGTAATATGATCAGATAGTATGATGAAAACTAATATATTTGGGAAGGCAATGAACTTTTAAAACTTACGCCATATTGCTTTTGTTAGCTGAAAAAAATAACCTTCCTTGAATCATCTAGATATTTTGTCCCCATACATAGGACTTTCCCTATACATACACAGTCACACACCCATAGGTGAGATAAAGAATAGCATGAGGTTTACTTTTCTTGATATCTGCATTCAGTGATTGTATGTCAAGTATTATGTAGAAGATCAGAAATCATTATCTAAACTCGATAATAATAAACTTTCTCCTAATGTTTTAAAGCTCAGTCACATATCTTTAGAACTGTAGAAAATGGATATGCTAAAATAGCAAAACACAAAACTCACATCACATTCCTTTGAGGGTTTATTGTGCATCAGAAGCTGTTATAGTGAAACTGGGTGGAACTGTGGGGTTTGCAGTAAACTAAGGCATGAATATGTCTGCTTCCTTTTAAAAAAGATTAAATTAATAAGAATCATAAATGGATAGATAACTGAGCTAGTGTACAAGCTAGAATTGTTAAAATAATGTTGCTGAATTTAATATCCCTCCTTGCCCTCTCCCATTCCATAAATTTATTTTTGTATGTGATGATTTGGTTGCTTATAGTGTACCAAAAACTTGGAAGCCAATTCCATTGCCTAACTTCTAGATAAGTTATGTATTTCTATTTTTGTTTCTTGCCTAACAGAAATTGTGAGGATTCATCATGAGTATTGACGATACAATTTCCTAGAAACTTGCAAATGCAACTTAACACCATTTAGGCCAGAAGTATTTCTACCTTAAATATATTCAGAAAATCATGGGGAGAAAAGATACAAATTCAATAATTCTTCCTTACCTCGAATTTGAAGACAACAAGAAAAGTTTCTGATGCATAAATTGAAAATTCATGGTGAAGCTATGTGAAGGACACAGGCTTTCCTTTGTAGGAAATTATGTGAATATTTTTGTTATCTTCCTAAGACTTAAAAAAGTTAATTTTAGCCCAGTAAACCTAATTTCCCTAGCCTTTTCTTTTATGAATTTTAGTTAGTCTTTGTACATGACACTCTCTTCCTCCATTACAATTTAGGGTAAAAAGCAATCAAAGCACAGAAAAAAGAATTCAGTTCTCCGTGACAGTACTTCAGTATCACACAGGCATTCTCACTATTTCACATCTGAATGTATCTGGAATTTTTTTTTCCTGCTTTTGGTTTAAGATATGGAATATGATATAAATTTCACCAAATGTTAAATTGCTTAAGTATAAACTGAATTTAAACTTTATATTCCAGTAGTTCTGAATGTACATAGAGAGACGACATTGGTGCCAAACTAGGACTTTACTTAACATGCTATTTGGCACAGAGAGGGTATCAGTGGCTGTTTATTACACACATTTCCCCTGCTGAGACCTCGTTTCTACTCACAGATTAATAAGCAGCTTAAAATGCTCAGGCCTAAAATCTCTGGATTTGCAAGAAAACTATAAGCCTGTGCATCAAAATTAAATTCAGAAACTATAGAGTTAATCATAACTGGATGAAATTTGAGGAAAGATTGGATCACTAATATTTAATGCAATTAGAAAAACCTGTAATTTTGTATGCAGTACTTCAGAAAACTGGAACATCTTATTTGAGTTCAAGCTGAGCCTCTTATCAAATGCAAGCCAAGCACCAAAAAAATTCAGATCTTCTGGCTTTAGCATAAATGCAAAAATCTACTTCCACTTCAGAGTGAACAGCATAGATTATTAGCATTGCAGTCTATTTAGACCAAGCTATTTCAAACACCCTTGGATATAATTCCCACAATGATAACAACTTTATTTTTCCTGCCTGAATGAATACTGATGCATCACTAAGTGTATTGGTTTTCTGGTGACTTAAACATAATATAATAAAAATACACTATCGCCATAAAAGGAAACAAGTCTAAACAAGAATATTTTTGATATGGATAAATAAAGCTGTATTAAAAGCTGAATCCTTCAGAAGGTAATACCAGCTTGGCTGCATTGCTGTGTATTCTTTTATGAAGGCTTTAAAATCATCAGTGCAGATTTGTGATGCTAGGCATCTTCCCTCTGGTTAAGGTAAGCAAGGCCTGTTATTTAGTGGGTTCTCTTACTTAAATTGTCCTTTTGGAACAGATTTACTGTGCTGCAAGGTTTGAGTTTTCTTTTGTTTGTTTTAAACACAGTGGATTAAATTATTCCAGAGGGCATAAATTAAGAAAATTAAGGCAACTAAATGATTTCACACACATACAAGCATCTGTCACATGTGTAGGATGGTAAGCAAGGCCTGTTATTTAGTGGGTTCTCTTACTTAAATTGTCCTTTTGGAACAGATTTACTGTGCTGCAAGGTTTGAGTTTTCTTTTGTTTGTTTTAAACACAGTGGATTAAATTATTCCAGAGGGCATAAATTAAGAAAATTAAGGCAACTAAATGATTTCACACACATACAAGCATCTGTCACATGTGTAGGATGTGGGTTGGTTGGTGCTTTTTTTTTCATTAAAGCAGGTGTATGTAGGAACAGACTGTGTGGTAAGAATTGATAGACTTCTTGCTTTTTGAACTTTGATCACTTCATCTGGCTTTTCACAGAGAAAATATCACTTTTAAAGGTGATTTTTAACATACCAGAGACAGATATTTGTTAAAAAGCATCTAGGAGTTAGAATCATACATATGGGTGACACATAAGCAAAAAATAAGGAAGAATTTCTGTTTTAAACCCTAAGAACAAATGTCTCCTGTAAAAACTACTAAGAAAATTAGTAGATTCTCCAATTTCTTGATGGCTTGAAAACAAGATTGTATGCTGAGTTGAGTGTGTGTCCAGGCTGGTAGAATAAGCTGTTAAACCCCATCTCTTGTCATCTTCTTGACTCCCTTCCCATCTATGCTGTCCTTTTTTTCCTAAGGGGCACAGCTCTGGGGATGTGTCCTGCAACCAGTTCAGGCTCAGAATAAGGTGCTGTTCCTGCCTCCCTCAACACACACATGCACTTTCCCACACAAACATAGGGTTTCCACGAGGCTTTGTGTGAGGTGTTTAAAGGAGAAAGCAGCAGTTTTTAATCTGTGCCAGGACTGGGCTAGAAGCTGAAGAAGTCCTTCAGAGCTGCTGAGGTGTGTGGGCAAGACTCTGAGCACAGGGAGGGTGCTGCCCTGTACCAGGGACCATGAGGAAGTGGTGTTGGGGTGATGCTTCTTACTGCAGAACCTTGTCCTCTTGCTGGGGCAGTGGGGAAGAGAAATGGTGACTCTGCAGTGCATAAGCATGTTCTTGCACCTGTGTATATGAAGTGTTTAATGTTATCTCCTTCTCACATCCTGCAGTGGCCAAGAAGTAGAGTCTGATAGTGTATTGATTGTACATAAATTCAGTTGTTAGACAAAACTAAAATCTTTGGTTCGGAATGGAAGAATTTGATGGTATTCATTGCTATAATGTACAAAAATGAATCATTAAAGCTGAATTGTGTTTCTTAGGCAACACATTAAAAGTGCAAGTAATATTTTGCTGATTAATTCCTTTTTCCAATTGCAGGTTCAGTGAGTGAGAAGCTGCCACAACGAGAAGGTGCAGGCAAAGCAGGTAAATATCTTAGCTGGCCTTTAAACAGAAACTAAAATAGCTGTGGGATACACTACTGTGATTTTCCATAGATGTGCATTATCAATACATGCTCATGATCTATTCTAGCTGCACATATATATACATGTGTAAATGCTATTAATTTTATGTTTACACTGTAGATATTTAGTAAACTTAGGAGCAGAAACATGTATATATGTATGCATGTGTTTATATGTATTATATATGCATAGACACCGTATTTTTCTAGTTTCAGCCCTACAAACTTTGCTATTCTGTGCTGTTTGGAAGATAACTTTCCTACCCATAGCTGTACTTTGAAATATTTTCCCATACTATTTACTTGCTCTGGAGGACAAATTATTCTGTCTGTTTGATAAAGACAGCATTCTGAAGTCTCATAATCTTGGGAACTGGAGTCCTCACTTTATTTCCATAGCAATCAGTGCTTGAGTCATCTTGAACCCAGCACTTTGCTCTGTATTTTGATTAATTCATCTGAGGGCTTGTATTTATGGCCAGATGATTGTTGTTGTTAGATATAGATCATGCTGTATATCTTGTTGGCAGGACAGAATCTGATGCGAATCCAACATAGCTGGTAGATTTAAATGAGGGAGATGTCTATGGTTTAGCCTACACTCTCTAAACACTTGAAAGAATTTTAAATTCAGCTGAAAACAACATGCTGAATATTTCTGTCAGTTACACTGCATAAATTAATTCCAAAGAAGTTACTTGTTCTAATATTGAAGCCTCTCTGGTGCACTGTACATATAATTGAAATATTTTTTTACAGGAGCTTTTGCACAATTGCAATATACCCAACATTTAAATAAACTATAGTGCTGTTAGGTTAAAAAAATAGTACTTCTTTAAAGGCTAATAATTACAAAGTACTGGAAAATTGTTCCTTCATGTATTTCCAGACAAATTGTGGGTTCCGCTAACCTTAGGTTACCCATTTGCTTTAGGTCAGGACTTTAATTTTCATCTTTTAACTGAACAAAATATCCCATATATAAAACTTGTCTGGAATCCTTTATTTTTGTTTGTGGCTGTAGTGGCTGAGCTGCTGAACGCTGAATGAACGGTCATAGAACAAGGAAATGAACACAATTTATCGAATCTCACCACGTATATTTGTGTCTCAAGTGACATGGTTGCATTTTATTCATGCCCTGCTTTTATTCTCCATTACAAGCCTGTAGCACAAAGGGCTTCTGACCTGGTTCCCAAGTGGTCTCTGGTTCTTTTCAGACGCTGCTGTCTTCCTCGCCCCACCCTTCTTCCAGACAGTCACTGCCTTATGCTTTAAATAAAGTCATATTGTCAGAGACACCAAAAACTCCTTAGAGACTATCACAGAGGAGCAAATAGGATCATCTGTCTGTGTGAGTTAAGGAGCTGTGCTTCAGCTTCACAGCCAGTATAGTAAAAAGTGCTTTGTAGCTCACCTTGAAAGGGCACAGTAGTATTTTTTGAAACAACCATAAAATTCCCTGCTTGTCTTTCCTCTGCATGTTCCTATGGACTAACCAGGGGTGCCCACATGGGGGTACCTGCCCGTATCTTAGCCCAGAAAGCATAGGTAGGTTCACAGTGTTCTCACTGCTGCAGAGGACATGCTCTGTACCTTCAAGGTGTGGTCTTGAGGACTCTACACAACATGGAGCATAGATTTAACCTGAGACAGTCTCATCTTCCAAGGTGTCTCATAGACATGGAGCTGGTGAGCCATTTCTGTTGCAGTTGTGTACCTTGCTTCCTCTGGGTATTCCAATACTGAAAGAAAGTTTACAGCTCCAAATATTTGAGGTCAGGAGCTTTGTTCATGTGCTTGTAAATTTAAGCATTAAACCAAGCAGAAATGAAGCTCAAAACACAGTCCCTTAAGTATCTTCTCTGACCCCACAGCTCTTTCCTCTACCCAAGGAAATTATTCAGACTTTCTGAAAAGCACAGGTGTCAGAATTGGGATTGTATGCCTTTTTTCTGACTCTTAGCTGACTGCAGGACTATGTTCTTCATAACTGAACTCTGACAGCAAACAGAATTTGAACAGGTTTTTGTATAAATATATGCATGTAGAGACTGGTATGCATGTGCCAGCCAGGAAGATCTATGCAATTAGCCTGTGAAATATCTAATTCATATCAATCATTAAATATGAGTAAAAAAAAAAGAATTAATAAACTGTTTTAAATACTACTTGAACAAAGTCCAGGAGGCTAATTTTGATTGGGCTGTTAGTTACAGCAATATATTTGAATTTCAAGTAATAATGTAAGATCAAATGTGTCACAAACTGATTGTGGACCAAAAGTTGGTTAGAAAACTGTAATTTAAATGCAAACCCAAGTTTCTGTCTTGGCTCTTGGTAATATCTACCTGCCATAAGTTACCCTCTGAAATTCTGGGTTTTCTGAATCACATACTGATGATTTAAATATATGTGTTGATTTTCAGTACACTAGGATACTTGATGGCCTCTCTGAAATTAATCAATGGTCTTATTCCACCACCCAGAGGACACCACAAAAATGCCATCGACACTAATGAAAGTGACAGTCTGTTATGGCATTGGAGCAAAGAATCCTGCCATTGCGTGGACATGAAGAATGAGCACTTCTAAAGGAATTTCCATATGCTTTGGTGAAAAAATTTTGCATTGAAAATAAGTTCCTGTTGCTGCTGGTTTGGCTTTGTGAAAAGCAGGGAGGCCACTATTCCATGGCTGGAAATTCAGCTTTACCTGCTATCAATATTTACTTGGTGTCTGTATTTGCTGTGAACTGGGCTGTGCCCTCTAGAGGCAAAGGTCAGAGTGACCCCAGATCCTCTGCATGATTTTCATAAAGACAACACAGGTTTGAAAAAAAGCAGTGATGGTGACAGCAAAGAGAATTCTGAATTGCTGTAGCAAGAAGAAATGGAAAGAGGTAGTGCGTTAGCCTTAAAGCTCCTGCTCGCTGTCACCATGGTAAGGCTACATGCCAGGAGAAACTTCTGTTGCCTTTGGTTATAGCTTCCATGAAAATGCCAGGAAAACAATCTGGAAACTATTTTGGTCTGAGCTCCAGTTGTGAAACTGCAAGAAGCTGTAACAAAACGTTTGCATGGAAGATGCTGTTTACTGCAGTATACCTTGGTTTTGGAGTTAGCTCCATGCTACAGGAAACAGCAATGTCTGGAAAATGTGTACTAGCATATGGCCTCCTGAGTCATATTCACCCAATACCTGTGAAAGTTTTAAATGGCAAAAACTTAGTAAGGTAAAGATGTGTCTTTGGAACCACTATTTCTAGCAATGCAAACTTAAATATTCTTTCATATTTAATTTTTCTGTTCCAGCACTATGTCCACTGTGTTTTACTGAACCTAAAATTGCTCACATCTTCTTGTCATTTCTGTAATTTTTCCTCTCTCTTTTCCTGCAGTAATGATTGGTGGTGGATGGATGGAGAAGGCTGACCAGAGGATAACACTTGTGCAAACAATATTCTGGTTATATAATCTGTGAATCTTGCTTATAAAATCAGCTTGACTCTTGCATAGATCCTGCTGAGCTGAAAAAACTTTTCATTTTAAGGTGTCAACATGTCTTCAGCCTCTCATTGTCCCAGACTGCTTTTGCTTTCCCAGGTCTCAAGGCTTCTATAGATTGATCTAATTAGTTGTTCAGAAATGCTGATTTGCTCAGTTATAATCTATAGGTATCAATGTTCAGCGTTAGATATGAAGAATTACAGTCGAGAGTGCAACTTGATCACTTCACGCATCATCAAAGACCCTGCAATAAATTCATCAGCCATAACCTCAAAACTCATCCATTTATAAAACATAATCTGTATATGTAATGTACCTATACTGTGTAGTATCTGTAAAGAATGTTTAAATTATTGCTTGTTTACTGGCCGGGGCTATGTGCAAATCATTCTTATCAATCATGTATGTACACTTATTTAGCTTACTCTCATAATTGTAGTCTCCTTGCAAATCTTTTCCATTCTGAATTCAGATGATGCCTCAGCTCCCGCACTGGAGACTCAGCCTCAAGGTGATGAAGAAGGTGAGCAAACTTAACTACTTAAGAAAATAACCAAACTTGTGGTATTACACTATGCAGTTATGGACTGTATTCCACAACATCTAGTGCTACCTGAAGAGTATTTACGACTGGTGGGGCAGTTGCAAGAAATTGAAAGCATCTGTACCTTTTTCAGGAACAGCAAAGACAACAAGCACAGGAGAGTCTTTACTTACAAGCAGTGAATTCTGTGTGATAGTTTTGCGATGACACTGTAGCTGTGAACACTAACATCAGCAATTTCCATGAGGGCAGAGACAGGTTTTAAACTTGAGCGAAAGTGCAGATTAAAACTCTATGTGCAAATAAAGGAGTTAAAGGGTAAACTCTATCCTCAGCATAATGCCTACTAATATTAAGGTTGATGTTTTGTCAGGCTTATTTGCCTCAGGGGAAATTGGGTGTTTGGTAAATGTAAAGCTCGAGGCATACGTGCAATAATAGTCCTATGTTGTGGCTGCCTTACCACTCACTGCAAATCTTGCAGAATATGATCTGAAGTCATTACACATTTTTGGCTCACACTAGGAGATTTTTATTCATAATAGCATAACATAACATATTTATAATAACATAATTTTAGTCTAGAAGGATTCTGTCATTTTTTTTTGTACGAATGGGATAAGGAAAGAACTATTCATGCTTGATATAGCATGAATAAAGGTTTTAACTGTGCCTTTTTTTTTTAAGATTCATGTATCTTTAAAACTAGCCACTTATTATGTAGTTGCTAGTAACTTTTAAAAAACAGTTAACATTTATAAACTATTTCCTGCTGTGTTTTTTTTTTTCTTCTAGATATAGCTTCTCGTTATCCTACGTTATGGACTGAGCAAGTAAAGAGTAGACAAAACAAAACCAATAAAAGCTCAGGTAAGAAACTCATGTTGTCCTTACTTTACAAAGCTCCTGTGAAGACATGCATGAAACCAGTTTAATAACCATTCTGGTTCCACTCTCATTGTATAATGGTGGCTTAATGATTTGTGTAGTGATGATTTAGTAAGTTCATGCATCATACATTCCCTTTATAGGGAAGTATTTTTGGCCAGGCTATACCAGGCTAAAATGATATTAGCCCACTAAAGTCCCTGGGTTAAATCTATTTGCATCTTTTAGTTGGTCTGATGTTTATGTTTGCATCCTCTTTAATCTTCTGCCTCTTTGGCATCTACTTGTGTTTTCTTTTTTTGGGTGATATGTAGCAAGAAGGTGCTTGGTAAATGACAGTGTGGGTTACATTTGTTTGGTGGTAAATCTTAGGAGGCAAACCTGAAAGGGAGCAAACTTGCATCAGAAACCAGCTGTCAGTGAACAGGAATTGGAAGGACAGTGTTATCTGCTTTTTGCTGCATCACTCACCTGCTATTTACAGGCTGATCATCAGTTTAGTGTGAATTGTGTTGCTCTTTAAAAACAATTGTTGAATTCTGGCCTTATGTTTTTTCACCACTCTTCAGAATTGAGATTTATAAACCTAGACTAGGAATGTCAGGTGAATGGCCTAAGACTGAAGTCTCTATAGTATGCAGATGCGTTCAGTGCTTTGGTGGATTATAAATTTTGATGTCTTCCTCACCATTCCTTCCTTTCAGTGGAATAAACTTTAGAGAAATGTCCATGTTTCTTTTTCTCTGGAAAAATGTTTAGTTTGAAAGGCGACATTAATGATATATGCTATGATTCAGTAAATCACCCAAAAGTACACTTCAATTCTGGGGAAAATTGAGGTTGTGCTTTATGTTAAATCCTGTGCTTAAGTATTTTACTGAATTGAGGCCCAAAAGGATTAAAAAAGACAAACAGTTGCCATAAGAAATAAAGCAAGGCATATCCTTACTGAGAGGTTTACAGATTCCGTTATACATGCTATTTTTAATGTTCAAGCAAAAATTATTAATACTTTTTCCTCTCCTTGATTTTCCAGTAGGCAGTTAAGGGAAGGACCTCAAACATAATGTAGACAAGAGTTTGAGGCAAATACTTTTCATGCTGGAGAGTTATTCTGTCATTTCTTTAGTCTGTGCTAGCAAGAACAGAATTCCTTTGGGATTTCTGTTGTGTGAAATATGTGTATAGAAATGTGTCATTTTTAGGAGTGTTTGTGTAATTTTTACAGTGCTAGAGATCTGATCTAAATCAAGACTTCTAGAGTTTGCAGTGCAGCAAACTACAAATATCCTGCTTAAAAGCTGACTATTTTACCCTGTATTGCTTTTTATAATCTTTCTGTTTTTTACCTGAATATATGTTCTAATATGTCATAATCAGCAAGTCATGGTCATAAAAATACATTGCCTTGACCTGAGAAATCAATCACCTTAGAAGAATTTTTTTGTGAGTAACAGCATCACAAAGGAATACTTTATATTTTTCTAGCCGTCCTGAAGTGGTGTGCTTTGCTACTCTGCAAATGACCTGCCAGTTACAATTAGCCAGTAAAATCAGCATAAGCTTTTAGGTTTTGGAAGCTAGAAAATAATGGCTCAGGAAGTTCTAGTAGATATTATTTATCCAGTGCATTCATTTGATTAAATCAGCCTAAATGAATTTAGCATGGAGTAATGGCATTTGCAAGACTTACAGATGCAAGGCATGAAATTAGTGGATTATATATCCATGTTCAGTAGTGACTTTCTAGTGCATATTCTTTGTGTTGGCCCAGAGAAATAGGCCTTTTCTGATCACTAAAGACATTTGTTGAGTGGTATTTAGTCTACTAGTATTTGAGGACAAAATGAACCCCATCAACATTGGGTTGTTACAATAACTCTGTTTTGAGTGGTTGATTTGGATAAAAACTATTTTAGCTCTTCTTGTACATTTTCAAAACGCTTCTATTTTCCATAATTAGAAAAAAAAGTATGCATCTGATTGCTAAAATAACATAATTTTTGCTGAGATTATGTTTTACATATATGCCTTAGTGCCTTCGCAGTTATTTTGTGAATTTGCCCACACTCCTCATTTCTTTCTCCATTTCACAGAGAATATCATGGGTTTGCCATATCAGATAGACACAAATAAGAATTATAGCAACACCTATCAAGAATAAACAGAATACTCTGACCATATGCTACTAGTTCACCCAATATTTCACATTTTGCCTGGATCAGGCACAGACACATGATGCAGTGTTTGTGTCAGCTTCTTGCTTTCTGCCATCTTTATGCTCATATGCTTTATGCCAGTGCTAGAGGACAAACCATAAATGATCCGGCATAAAATAGGGTCAACCCAGAGGAAACTCTGGTCTGCTGTAAAGACTTCTGAGGTAGGGTCAAGATTGTCAAAATTCTGAACACATCTAAGCAAAAAGTAGTGGATTGTTTGATTATGAAATTTTTCACCCAGAATGAAGAATCCTAAATCAGAATTCATTGTCTCCTCAAATTTTGGCTTCAGTGACTTTAAGAATGCCCAAATTTCAGCCACTGTATCTGGATATTTTGGTTATGTAGAATCATCTTTGATTTTTTGCTTCAGCTGTGCACACATGAAAGGAGCACAGTGGAGTAGTGTTTTATTGCTGTCTATTTACTACCGACTGTCAGTTTCAGGGCTTTAAAAATCTGTTACAAGATTTTATCAATTAGTCCCAGAGAGCTAGATCCAACAGGAGTTTCATTCTCAGAACACCTTCTGGGAGAACACTGACATGCACCTACAGTAATATAGTATAGACTGGCTGCAAATGCAACTGAAAACAGTATAGCATCTACTGAAAATACATTCTTAATACACTGAAATTGCAGCGTAAATAGCAATTACACATCCGATCTGTACCAAATAGCTGCTTGCATTTATCTGTCCATATAGTCTGAATCTGTTGGCAAAGTCTGCCCCTGAGATTGACTAATACGACAGAGTGACATTCTTAAGAGCTGAATGCAGTTTTTTATTGCCATGTCATTTAACAGCTTTAAAGCATTTGTACATGAGTTTTTCTCACATGGAAACTATGTTGGTTGTCCCTGAGGTTTCTGTCTTGTTAGCTTGCTTTATTTTGTTTCTCAGAGGCAACTGTTCCAGTGGAATTCCTGTGTACTGGTCATTCCCTGAAAATCACCTTCCCATAAAGCACCAAGACAAAACCCATTCCATACTTCAATGCCCTTGTTTATTCCAAACTGAACCTAAATGATGTCCTCCTGCTATGGCTATCCTGACTAAACTCAGCTGTGAGGTTAAAAAAACCTGCCTTGAAAAAACCCCAAACCAACACAAATTACTGTTTTCTTTCAAAGGAAATAAATGTAAGAGTTTGTGTGTCTGCCCAGTTACATCAATTCTAATAGCCATTCCTTTCTAAGCATAGGAAAATTAATAACTTAGAGACAGAAAAATGAGTAATAGCTCAGTGACGTTATTTATTCTCATTAATTGTTGTATTTTCCAGATGTTGCTTTTAGTATTGACTAAAGATAAATTATGTGCAGCTGAAGTTGTGTGAGCTAGCAAGGAAAAAAAAAATATCCAGTTGTATATTCCCAGTTACATATTTATTCCAAAATGGCTCAAAGTTTCCTAGAAGTATGTTGAATTAGGCCTATTTCACAACGTGAAGATTTGAGATATGAAACTGGTTGAAACAGAAGGAAATCAAAATGGATGTCATAACAAAGTGAGAAGAGAACACAGGGAGGAGGGTGAAGAAAGGATTTTAAAAGCTTGTTGCTTCCCTTTTTCAGCAGGGATTACTAGGAAGTTGTGCACTGGCCTGCAGAGCCCTGGCCAATCTTCCATTCTCAAATTTGTTTGTATTCTTCATTAAAGGAGAGGCAGGTGAGGACTTTAGAGCAGAATATACACATATGTCTAAAGAGTCCTACTCACTCTTAATGCCTATATTGGATACTCAGAAATGGTGTTTAAATTAATATATAAAGTAGATTTGTCTGAGTAGAAGTGGTCCATTAACTGCAAACCACTGAATTACATAGGAAAACCAAGTTTTTTCCCTGTTATTACCTCATTTCAGTTTTAAAGACAGTATTTCTTTCCAACAATTAGTGAGGTATGAGCCACACTCAAACATGGGATTTGCATTCCTAGACTTGTGTTGTAAGTGCAGCTATTAGCTGTAGCTGGAGAAGTCAAAAGCATGGTAATAAGTTGTTGAAATATATGTCTCATGCATTCATAGGGACTAGTGTATATGGTACCATCATGGGCTAAAAGTAGATTACAGCCTACTAGAAATCTGTGATGTTTTGGCACACAGGTTTTATAATCCAGAGTACATGAAATGTAATTGAATTGAGCCCTGCGAACCTCAATTAATGCATGAAAGGAAATTACAAGGCAGAAGTATTGATTTTAAATGTCTTCAGACATATCAACTGGCTATTAAGTCCACACATGGACTCTGTCAATGGGAACTCAGTCCACTACAAATGGGCAACTCTGCCAAATTTTAGACAAATTCAAGTCCAGATATTATTACTGTGAACTTTATAGTTTGGACTGCAG